GACGTCTAGGCTGGCCATCACATTGGGATCTCCTTCTTCACAACTAGCATTGAGGGATGAGAGAGGCAGTGGGGGTGGACAAGAGCGGGAGGGTTATATTTAGAATGGCAGGATTAAATAACAGCCCCTTCACTCTGGGAATCTTTTCAGCACTCTGTCCTTTTCCAGCCCGGCCGGTGTGGCGAGCAGACCTGTAGCCACCTTCTCCCCTTTTTCTTCTCTTGTCCGTCAATTCCCATCTTGAAGTTTTCTGTATCTTTGATCAAATAAATGCAGCCTTAGTGAGCATAAGAGACTTCTTTCAAAAAAAATAAAAAATCTTACCAACTACAAACTTTTGAATGGCAGTGTACATTCTTCAAATCCCTGATTTCATAGATACTCATTCATTTTTTAGGAAACATTACTAGAAAATTACTACAAAGGATTACAAATAAAGCATTTTGTTAATTTTATGACATTTACTTGCATCTTTTTTTTAAATTTTTTTTTTTTACTTATTTAAAAGTGCAAAGTCTGCTGCACATGCATGCACAGGATGTGTGATATCACATGCATTCCAGATCATCTTGTCACCAAATTGCCTATATCATCTGCAGTCTTTTGATTTATTGAAATGTCTGATGAACAACAAAAAAAACTCTATAGTTGAAAAAGCAAGTAACTTAGTGAAATATCTGAAAATGTTGTTCACCAGACCAGATCTGAAATATGTCAATCTTTTTTTTTAAATCTGTTTTCAGAGGTTGTATCTCTGGACCCCCGTTGTGAGCTGCTCCTGGATCAGGGCCCTTGTCGGGACTATAACATTCGCTGGTACTACGACCGGCAGGCCAATGCCTGCGCGCAGTTCTGGTACGGAGGCTGTGACGGGAACCGGAACCGCTTTGACACAGAAGAAGATTGCAAAAAGACATGTGTTGTCGTGAGAGCAGGTAAAATGCACATTTGAATTTAACTTATCCCTGGTAAAAAATTACTGAAAATGAAAATGGACACCAGTTTCTGCCATATAGTCACACTCTTTTCTTTGCATTTAGGAGGCTGATATCCGTTATGGATACATTTCCCTTTGTCTGTAATTCCTCACACTCCAATACAACGGACCTGCACTGAAATACACAAAGTATATGAAAAATTGGTAGGACAGGGCATTTCATTGAGAGTAGCTAATTGATAAAACACAGTACTTTCATATCACAACCTTCAGAACTGTGAATAAGCAATACTGTAATATTGTACACTGTCATAGTTACACAACATTCATTGAACTGACATTAATGTAATAAATGAAATGTAGTCTTGATTTTGAAAACTAATGTTGTTGGAATCAATGTAATAAAGCTTGTCATTTTGTATCTTGTACTTTTGGTAATAAAATATTTTGTATGTAGATAAATGGCCTGGCTGTTACACTGTCAACAAATCCAGATTTTCTGCAATTTCATGTTCACTAAATCACGCTGTATTTTATGTTCAGCTCAAGAAAGATTTGTGCTGGTTATTATAGTGTTATAATGGTTCCAGAGCACCTTGCTTCAGGATGGACTGAAGGAACTTCTGAATGAGAACAAGTTTGTGGACTGCACTTTGAAAATTGGCGACCGCTGCTTTCCCTGCCATCGCCTGATCATGGCCGCCTGTAGTCCTTACTTCAGAGAGCTCTTCTTCTCCGAGGACGGCAAGGAGAAGGAAAGCAGCAAGGAAGTAGTTCTGGACGACGTTGATCCCAATATCATGGATATGATCATCCAGTATCTGTATTCCGCTGAGATCGACTTGACGGACGACAACGTTCAGGAGATCTTTGCAGTGGCGAACCGTTTCCAGATTCCCTCAGTGTTTACAGTATGTGTGAACTATCTCCAGAAGAAGCTGTCGCTGTCTAATTGTCTTGCCGTCTTCAGGCTCGGCCTGGTCCTCGGCGTTCCCAGGCTCGCCATAGCAGCACGCGATTTCATCGCTGACCGCTTTGAAACCGTGGCGGCCGAGGAGGAGTTCCTTCAGCTGGCACCTCACGAGCTCTTGGCCCTGATTGGTGGAGATACGCTTAACGTGGAGAAGGAGGAGGTCGTGTTTGAGTCGGTGATGAAGTGGGTGCGCAGCGACAAGGCCAAGCGCGCCAAGAATCTGGGCGAAGCGTTCGAGTGCATCCGTTTCCGCCTTCTTCCGGAGAAGTACTTCCGGGAGAAAGTCGAGACCGATGACATCATCAAGGCAGATCCAGAACTCTTGAAGAAGCTGCAAGTCATCAAAGACGTCTTCGGAGGAAAACTCCCCGAGAAGAAACCCAAAGAGAAGAAGGAAGGAGAGGTGAACGGAGAGGCCGGAGCAGAGGAGGAAGAGGAGCTGCTGCCGGGTTACTTGAACGATAATCGTAGACTGGGGATGTATGGACGAGACCTGATCCTCATGATCAATGACACGGCTGCTGTGGCGTACGACGTGGCCGAGAATGAGTGTTTTCTGGCTGCCATGGCAGAGCAGCTGCCGAAGAACCACGTGAGTCTCTGCACCAAGAAGAACCAGCTCTTTATCATTGGTGAGTGACTTTGAGGTTGCACACTGCCATCTCTTGGAGAGAAATGAAGGTATAGTATTATGATATTGTGACGTCTAAGGATGTCCATAATACCTGAGAAAGCAATCCCTTAGCATTCCCATTCATCTCAGTGGAAGTACTGGACGTGCATTACCTGAATCCTGCCATTTTTGTTCATGTATATTTATCCTTATTATACAGTAGTAGGGCTCCAATACAATCAACTCCAAACTTCTGAGAAAACCGCATCGAAAATAAAAACCTAAATGCTAAATAAACCTCAGCTAACCTCTAGCAATTAAACTGGTATCTTTTTCACTCGTGCTTGTCATTAATATCTCCTCATACTTCCTCTTTAACAGTCTCACACATATGTCCCTAATGCTTTGACTTAAATTACACACGTCTCCTTCCCCCAAAACCTTTCTGTCAGTTTTAATTTTAGTAATAGTGTCTCTAGTGTGACTGGCGCTCTCCTCTGAGCCCTGAGATCATTCTAGAACCATTTGATAGAGTTGGAAAAACATGAAATCCCATGTTTTTATGATTGTCAATGCACTGTAATGACCCTAATTACTGTTTAACCAGGAAGTATTAATCTTTAAATGCATTGTTTGTCGATGAAGACAGCAAAGAGTCTCCTCTGCAGTGCTACTTCTACCAGGTACAAAATTACTTTAAAAACTAGGTGCTGGTGTGATGGTAACCACACTAGGTTTCTTAAACTACCTTTACAAAATGGTCTTCGCCAAGAAGATCATGCTGGTCCACTTGCTAGACCAGGACCAGCATGGTAATCCATATTTTTGGTCTTTTCATGGAACTTTAAAATAAAATAACTTTAATCTGCAAACTTTAATCAATTTCCTAGATATTTCACAGGTTAAAGTTATCTTCAATCCTCTATTTAGAGTATCTGAATTGAGCTTAATTTATGGTAATGGCAACACTTTACAATACATTTCAATTTGATAACATGAACTAACAATGATCAGTGCTTTTACAGTGTTTAGGTTAATTGTATATTCAACATATACTAATGCATTATAATTATCTAAAGTTATATAAATTAACATGAATTATTATAAAGAAATATGAATTAACTATGCATGTCGTTAATTTAATTTGTATAGTGCTTTCAACATGGTTTAAAAGCAGCTTTACAAAATATCGAGATGTTAATAATGTCTTAATATCTTCGTACCTTATGCATTTAGCAGATTAAAGCTGGGTGATAATATAGTTCAACCTTCGAGACAATATAAGAGATCTAGCAGATTTGCTATGTAGTATATATTCCCCTGCGCAATTATACTGTATGTATGCAGATATATCCAACTTTACTTAAAGAGCGGGGCGATAATGTAGTAACATTTTGCGACAATAAAACTTAAACTATGTAAACAATATTAGCCTATATTTATAAATGAACATGAATCTAGATGAATAAATTCAGTAAAAAATAGTTGTTTGTTGTTAGTTCCGGATATCTACACTAATGTTAATAAGTTGTACCATACTGTAAAGTATTATGGAACTTATTTGTAATTTTAAAACTATTCTATCTTATCCAGCTGGACAGTATTGCTGCTGATTGGAGGGCAATGCCACCTATGCCCAGCCCTCGATGCCTGTTCAGTATGGGTGAATGTGCAAACCTGCTGTTCGCCATCGCTGGCAAAGACCTGCAGACCAACGAGTCCCTCGACTCCGTCATGTGTTATGACACTGAGTATGAATTCAAAAGCTTTGTCTGTCCAACTGCTGATACTGCTCTTCACACTTGACTGCTGGCTCGGATGTGTGGCTTCAATAGTATTTCATGTCATTGCAGAAAGATGAAATGGCACGAGACCAAGAAACTTCCTCTGCGTATTCACGGCCATTCAGTTGTCTCACATAACAACCTGGTGTACTGCATTGGAGGAAAGACAGATGACAAGTAAGTGTGTGTGTGTGTGTGTGTGTGTGTGTGTGTGTGTGTGTGTAACTGAGATCAGTGGTGCTCAGGAACATATGGTATAGTTTGCAGCTGTCTGTGATCCATCAAAGTTCCTCAAAAATCCTCTGTACAATGTGACATTTAAAGGGCTCTTATAATGAGGAACCAATGACGTATTCATCTTTTCAGATAAAACAGCTTGATGAAACATCCTCTTCCTCTTCAGTCCTAACAAAGCATTTATTGAAATAGAGCAGCTTAGTTACTACTATTACTAAACACCAAAAAACTAGTAAAAAGTAAAGGAAACCTGCCCAACTGTGCACTGTTCCTGCCTGTGTGTAGCACCTACAGCTCTGCATGTTTGAAACGAGTGGCTTAAGTTTATCTTGATATAAATAAATAATAATAGAAAATTATACAATTATACATTGTATATGTACCTAAATATGAAGAACAGCCCCTTTAAAAGTCAGACTGAGCTGGAGCACAAGTTACTACTTTTTAAAGAAAGATTACAAAGCAATATTTTTATTTAAAATAATGTGAACCAATGGATTTTTCACAATAACTCCAAGAATGTGCTTTAAGAATGTACTGTACATAAGGTCAGTTTTGATTTCATATTGAAAGTCGACATCATTTGGTGCACTGTAAATTATTTGATTAAAAAAATATAAAAGTAAATAAATCTCTCTTTTCTCTCTCACAGCAAAGCTATCAATAAAATGTTTGTGTACAACCACAAGCAGTCAGAATGGCGAGAACTGGCTGCTATGAAGACGCCCAGAGCGATGTTTGGTGCCATAGTTCATAAGGGGAAAATCATCGTAACTGGGGGAGTGAATGAGGAAGGACTCACGGCTTTATCTGAAGTCTACGATTTTGGCACAAACAAGTATGATTTCTCACCATTGTTATTTATATATTATTAAAGTATTTATAAAATATTTTGAACTGGCTTTTATTTATATAGTTCTAATTTTTAATTTAATTTTTGTTTAATTTTTTGTATTTTTTAATGTGCTTTTGTCATTATTATTTTCAATATTTCTATTTATTTTCCATTTATTTTTATCTCAATTTTAGTCATTTTAGTACTTTAGATTTTATTTATTTTTATTTAACTTTTAGTTTTAGTCATTTTAATACTTATTTTATTTCACTTATATGCCAAAGCAACATTTCTAATTTTGTTTTCTTACATTTTTCATGCAATATTTTATTTTATTTCAGCTTTATTTAAATTAATGAACATTTTTAATAGTTTTAGATTTAGCTAACAATAACAACTAATAAACAAAATAGATACTATGCAATTTACAGGTTTGCTTGTGATATGAAACGATAATATTGTATATGTACAGAGATATACCATTATAGATGTTGTCTTCCTGCGCTTATCCATCCTTTTTTGTCATCTCTTCACTGCTTCTGCATGTAAAAATGAAATATGTATATTGTATTATATTAATATGATTTGCTCTTAGGTGGGACACATTCACAGAGTTCCCTCAGGAGCGCAGCTCGGTGAATCTCGTGAGCACCTTAGGAGGAAACCTCTTTGCAATTGGTGGCTTTGCTATTGTAGAGCTGGAGGACAAAAACATCGGGCCCTCTGAGATCACTGACGTTTGGCAGTAAGTCATCCCGATTCTGTGTCCAGCTGGTTCTGAAAGGAAAAAAAGAGTTTTAATTAATTAGTCGAGTTCCAAGAAAGAGTCCAGGAATAGAACTGGAAGTCAGTTTATGTATTGACCTGTTTTCTTTCACAGGTATGAAGAAGACAAAAAGACATGGAGCGGCATGCTGAGAGAGATGCGCTACGCTTCCGGCTCTTCCTGCGTTGGCATGCGTCTGAATGCTGCCAGGATGCCCAAACTTTAAATCAAACCAATTTTTTTGAAGTGTGACCCCCCTGTGGTCATGTGACCTTTGACCTCAGCACACAGCTGTCTGTGGTCATTTATATGTAGTCTAAAATGAGAAGCCAAGGGAACTAAACCTTTTTCATAAAACTAAGTGTGAAAAAAGCTTTCGGGTTCCCTAAAGTATTTTTTCTTTTACATTTTAGACAAACACTGTTAATGTGAAATGTGTATGTGTGTGTGTGTGAACATGAGCCATTTCCCATTTAATACCCTGACAGATTGACAGAACCATGTAAGCAAGAACAGGTGCATTTCTGTATTGTTATACAGTAATAAAAATAAACTCTCAAAAATACTTTAAAAATACTAGGTTATTATATGTATGTGCATTTTTTGTAAATAGATACTATGCAATTTACAGGTTTGCTTGTGATATGAAACAATAATATTGTATCTGTACAGAGATGTACCATTCTAGATGTCGTCTTCCTGCGCTTATCCGTCTTTTTTGTCATCTCTTCACTGCTTCTGCATGTAAAAATGAAATATGTATATTGTATTATATTAATATGATTTGCTCTTAGGTGGGACACATTCACAGAGTTCCCTCAGGAGCGCAGCTCGGTGAATCTCGTGAGCACCTTAGGAGGAAACCTCTTTGCAATTGGTGGCTTTGCTATTGTAGAGCTGGAGGACAAAAACATCGGGCCCTCTGAGATCACTGACGTTTGGCAGTAAGTCATCCCGATTCTGTGTCCAGCTGGTTCTGAAAGGAAAAAAAGAGTTTTAATTAATTAGTCGAGTTCCAAGAAAGAGTCCAGGAATAGAACTGGAAGTCAATTTATGTATTGACCTGTTTTCTTTCACAGGTATGAAGAAGACAAAAAGACATGGAGCGGCATGCTGAGAGAGATGCGCTACGCTTCCGGCTCTTCCTGCGTTGGCATGCGTCTGAATGCTGCCAGGATGCCCAAACTTTAAATCAAACCAATTTTTTTGAAGTGTGACCCCCCTGTGGTCATGTGACCTTTGACCTCAGCACACAGCTGTCTGTGGTCATTTATATGTAGTCTAAAATGAGAAGCCAAGGGAACTAAACCTTTTTCATAAAACTAAGTGTGAAAAAAGCTTTCGGGTTCCCTAAAGTATTTTTTCTTTTACATTTTAGACAAACACTGTTAATGTGAAATGTGTATGTGTGTGTGTGTGAACATGAGCCATTTCCCATTTAATACCCTGACAGATTGACAGAACCATGTAAGCAAGAACAGGTGCATTTCTGTATTGTTATACAGTAATAAAAATAAACTCTCAAAAATACTTTAAAAATACTAGGTTATTATATGTATGTGCATTTTTTGTAAAATAAACTATTTTAAACCATATCAACGTTTTTAGCAGACAGTTTTCTCTGATGATTGCAAAAACAAAAAAGCCATTTATTTTGGCTAGGACTGGCTAATTACATTAATTTAACTGCAGCATATTTATTGAGATACATACATACATATTTCAATAAATAATACTAATAAGTTGCAGTTAAATCAATGTCACAATGCCAGTCCTAGCCATATACTTTTTTTTCAAGTTTACCTATCACAGTATCTCCATATTGTCAGACTCTGTTTCGTGTTTTGTGTGTGTTTTGCTCCCCATGTCTTTCCATGCCCTTATTTGGTTCTTCCTGTTCCTGTTCTAATTATGTTTATTGTTTCATTAGTTCCAGGTGTGTCTCGTCATCCCATCCTTTAGTCCTCTCCTGTGTATTTATAGTGAGCCCTGTTCTAAGTTTGGTCGTCCGGTATTGTGAATGTCTGTTGATGTCTACCTTCTCAGCTACGAGTGTTTTCCTGGTTCCCTTGATTTTATTAAAACTTCCTTGTTGATGTAGCCTACTCCACGTCTCCTTGTTCCTCGCTCCTCGCTCCAGCACAGTAGCAAACGTGACAGAATACCGGACCGTGACAGTAAGCGGCACCCCTTCTCCCTGTGTCTAAAAAGTCTTTTGTTTTCCTATTCGTTTCTCCCCACCAACATGGAGGAAAGTGTTTTCCTGGTTCCCTTGATTTTATTAAAACTTCCTTGTTGATGTAAACCACGTCTCCTCGTTCCGCGCTCCAACACAGTAGCAAACGTGACACATATACCCAGTGGTAACACTTCTTTAATAAATACATCACTATTTGATATTGTTTCTATAACCTTTATTAAATTAATAAAATCTATACAAAATATATACATTCATATTTATTACTAAATGTTCCTAAAAAATATCAAGCAAATACAGCAAATGTAAAATATATTTATTAAAATATAACTTTTTGTTTTTTTTGCTGCTTGTGTTTCTTAGCTTGGAGCCAGTGCTTCACAATGTTTCTCCAATGCAGGACTGAAAGTTTCTCAGTAATGTGGTCTCTTCTGGTCTGTATATCTGTTTAGAGGAGATCTTGAATGGGAACCTTGAAGAAGCTGCTTGTGTGTTTGTCATTGTGGGATTTTTGCTCACTTTGGTTTTGCCGTTTTAAGCATCTTCACTGTACACTGTGTTTTGATATTAAGCACTTTTTGTCTTCATTGTGACACTTCAAATGCAAACACTGAAGTTCTTTACAGTGCAGCAGAGTGTATTTCTCTTTGATTTCAGTACCTTCAGAAGCTGATCCAGTGAAACTGGCGAAGAATCACCAACCTGCTGCTGAAATAAACATGAACACAAGAGGAGTTTTACCTCTGAGACGAGACACTATGAGCTATTTAGGACAATAGTGAGGTCAGTCAGTCTAGAGATTTGAGTTTGAAGACTGGAAACATGAACGAGACACACAGAGACATGAACGAGACGCTCGTCTACAGAAACCCAATCAGAATGAACACACAGGGCCTTGATCGTCAGGGAATTAATAATAGATTTATTGTATAACGATGCAGTAATTATACAGCGCGTGTGTTGTTTATTCATACAGAAGATGTAAGGTAAAATTGTACAATAGTGCATATAGAATGAAGATATTATTTAAAACCGTTCAGTGGAATTGGGCTTACCTTCGATTCGCAACAAGCAAACGGCTTTTCCTGACATTTTGATCAAAAACTGTGTAACATTATAAAACATAGCAAACGTGTTTATCTGTGATATACTGGAGGAGCCAGTCGCTGATGCTCCATATGTTAGAGTACAAAATTAACCATGGGAATCAAATATTTGATAAGGAACCTTTCCAATGAGAGTTATTAAACATGAAGGCCAATGCAAACCCTTTTCTACATATTGTTTGTCATTACAGCAGTAGATTCATAAATGTGACTTTTTATTGAACATAAAAGCATTAGTTTGTGTTCTGTCTGATCATGCATCAAATGTTTAGTTTAGTTTGATGTGGAGCTCATCTCACCTTCATGAGTTTTTTTTTGTTCTATAAGTTTAGTTTAGTCTGGTTTGGTTTATTGTGATCTGGAGCTGATCTCACCTTCATTAGTTTTTTTTTGTTCTATATGTTTAGTTGAGTTTAGTTTGGTTTGGTTTGGTTCAGTGTGATCTGGAGCTGAACTCACCTTCATGTTTTGTTTTATTTCTACATGTTTAATTGAGTTTAGTTTAGTTTGGTTTATTGTGATCTGGAGCTGAACTCACCCTCATTTGTTTGCGCGCTGCTGAGCTGCAGGTCACAGAGCTTCAGTCTCTCGCGCCTCATGATTTGTCGTTTTAACTCTGTCAGAGTGATGTGAAGGCCTTCAAACTCGACCGTGTCGTGAGTGAGTTTACTTCGAAACTTATAATGAACACAAGGCATATCGACACGGTTCTTGTGTTCAGATTTCACTGCACAAAATAAAACTGACCTAAACTATCACAGTCGCTAAAGGAAAAGCCGATCAGTCGATTAACTCAGCGATCAGCTCAATAATCGTCGCGAGATGCTGATGAGAGTCAGGTTTACAGAAAACACCAACACGTTGCCATGGATACTGATTAAGCGCTTCGTCATGAACGCTGAAAAAAAAAATCCATCAATACTTAAACCCTACGAAACTTTTACGTTTTTAATGTGTTTATTTTCGTAAATACTATACGTTTATGTGTTTATTGGATTTTTGCCAGCTATAGTAATAGTCGCTTGTGCTTCTAAACTCCACTTTTTTTGCATGCTATGTGAGTGGTTAGAATTTCGATTCAAGTGACTTGAGTCAACCGAAATAACAATAATAATAATAATAATAATAATAATAATAATAATTCAGTGACATTAATGTTTACGCCGGTAGGTGGCGCCAAATGAACGCCAAACTTACTGAGAAAAAAACAACAACATCAACAAATGAGAGTAGTAAACAAACTTTAACAGCTTCCACAAGATTTCATTTATATACAGTGGAGATCAAAATTAGAGAACAATCTATAAATACTTGATTTTTTTCTGAAATTATTGCTGAAGGAGGTTCTGATAAACATTTGCATTCACCCTTCCATGCTGCAGAAAACGTTCCCCAAACCATGACACTTCCTCCTCCACCTTTCACTGACTTCTTTACACACTCGGGGTTCAGTATTTCCCCAGTTTGATGCCGAACATAATGTTTCCAATCAGACCCAAATACACTAAACTTGCTCTCATCACTAAAGTGAACTTTGAACCAATTCTTCTCTCTCCACACAACATGCTCCTCAGCAAAGGTGAACTTAGCCTTTTGATTCTTTCTGCTGATGAGAGGTTTGGTCACTGCTGAGTGTGCTTTCAGCCCAACTTCTCTTAAACGTGCCGAGACAGATCCTTACCCTGTTCAGCGCTGAACTGGCGAGCAATTCCAGCTGCAGTGCTGAACCGATTCATTGAGAGTCTCCGCATGATCTTCTCTCGCATTTGTCTTACGTGGATGACCATCCTTTTTGGGGAACTTGAAGTAGTGTTATTGTAAAGCTGCAATATACGAGAAATCAGATTTGGAATGACCAGCTTCTCTTGCAGTGGCTGAAGGGTCGTCCCTTTGGCCTTCATCTGGACTGCGTCCTATTGCAGGGTTTCAGTCACCTTAGAGCGGCCCGCCGTCTTGCAATGTCATTGAAAATTAGGGTTTGTCATATAATTAAGGAAATTAGCACCAGGAACTTTTCAAATATCTCATTCAAGTTTCTTATACTGTGCTTCAGAATACAATTAATTTATGAAATATGCTTAAAAACTACCCTCCTACTCCTTAGGATAACTTCAAATAGGACTAAGCAGTGACCTTGAAATTTAGGACATCGTAGGTTGTTTTTTAATTTTGATCTCCACTGTATATGATGAAACCACTGATCTGTATAATGAAACTCAAACGAAAATGAACTCCAAATCCCATTTGATTTTTGACCGCTTTAAGCTTCCGTAGTCTCTGGTTCAGGCGGTGTATGTTTTTACCCAGAATGCACCGCTGATCGTCACGGCGCCATCTTTACAGACCTGCGCGCGCGGCGAGGACACCAGAACGACACTCGATGTTGTTAATGTCCTCTTCGTTTTGGTAGCATTGGTTTAAATTGATTCAAGCATGTAAGTTATACTTCCTGTCAAAGACATAAAAATTACTTTTCAGTAGGACTTGTAAAAAGGGAAGAACGAAATAAAAATCTCAACATAACTGACACATGTAGCACGTTAGCATGCTAGTCATTCAATCATTAAAAGGCAAAACGCTGCGATTTTAGCGCGGGTATGAGCAAATAGAACCAATTATCCGATTTCTTAAAGCTAATTCGATAAATATGCAGTTTAAACAAATACGGATACTCAAGGTGTGCTGCTGTTGATGATTTCTCGTGTGTTTTTAGCACTAGCTTAGCTGAGTGCAGGGAGACTCGGAGAACACAAGCAGCAGCACGAAAATAAACATCCGAGTGTCGTTTTATTCTAAAGCTATTTACGATCTCAAAGGTAACATAAAAAAACGTCGAATAGACTTATGAGACATGTTCATATGCTTTAATGTGCTATTCTGCTGAAAGTGAAAGTGCCAACACTGATATTGACGCTCAATTAGAGTAACGTTAGGCAGGAAAATAACATGAACGATAATTGACTTGGAGGACTTGCTACACTAGCAATATGACATACTGATATCCTTTCACGTAATGTACGCTCTGTAGGGATGTTTTGAATGGTTTTTGCAAAATACTCGATAATGTCAAATCGCACATCGTTAAGACAACAATTACGATATTATCGCAGACGATATATATCGCACACCCCTGATCTCTATATATTTATATTTTATAATTTATTTATTTAAAATTACTTGAGTAATTTAATTTTTTCTTTTTAGTCAGAGGAACCTTAATTTTAACAATACAGCTAATTAGGTTCAAAACGTTTAATGCAGTAAAGTCTGTGTTTATGCATTGTGGGGTTTTTTGTCTCCAGGTGAGAAAGGAATTGGCAAGACTACCCAGAAACCCTTGCACTATAAAGGAAGTCTGTTTCACAGGATAGTGAAGGACTTTATGATACAAGGAGGAGACTTCAGTGAAGGTACTTCTGTCTTTTGCTATTTTTTTATTATGTATATCCTATGGGCGATGACGTTTGACAGAAATGTTTGCCTTAACAGGAAATGGCAGAGGTGGTGAATCTATATATGGAGGTTTCTTTGAAGGTGAGTGTCCTTTTTTCCACTTCATAAGCATGTGCATATTAATAAAATATTGCAGTTTTTATTTTTTTTATTTTTTGAAGTTCCACAGTGATGTCCAATTTGTAAATCGTTTTAAGATGACTCTTCATTGACTTGGTTAACCAGGTTCCTAAATCACAGACTTCAAGGGTCAACATGAAACCGTTTCTACATCATTTTAGTATTATTTATACATTTATTGTTTTTAATAATATTATTGAATTAGCTTGTATTACTGTATTATTAGTTTTTATTTTAAGTTTTGTGCTTTTGTCAATTTTATTAGTTGTTTTTTTTTTTTTTCAAATTTCTATTTAGCTTTAATTTTTGTAGTAATTTTAGAACTTCAACTTCAGCTAGTTGCCATAGCAATATTTCTAAGTACGTTTTTTTTCTTATAAGTCCTTTTAGTTTAATTTTAGGTGTATTTAAACACTTTTTAATCGTTTTAGTTACCAATAACAACACTGATTTCAATATTCGGTCATTTTATTTTTTTGTCTAGATGAGAGCTTCTCAATGAAACATACCAAAGAGTTCCTGCTGTCGATGGCAAACAGAGGGAAGGACACCAATGGCTCACAGTTCTTTATGTGAGTCCAGAATACGTGCTTCTTTACAGCTTTATCATTTTATAAAACTTTGTTGTTATTGTGAAAACCTGTATCTGACCTGTAAATCATGCTTTTTACAGTTTAATATGTTACTATAGACATTGCCCCGCTCATATGGTATTAATTTTATTTGTGCAGGTAAAAAATCTTAAGTTTGAGCCTAAAAATCCTGCAGATACCCTGCTTTAGGGGGCGTCACTACTGACCTGTTGGATAGTGGATTGTACCATTCTCTTTGAAAACTACCATCATCTTCTTTTTTGCAGCCTTGATGTAGGGCTGGACAATGTATCGCGATATAATTATTTTCAATAACGGTGATATGATTTTTAAACACATTTCCGATATTTCGATATACGATTCTTTGATGAATAGAAAGATCAAAAGATCAGCATTTATCTGAAATAAAAAGCTTTTGTAACATTATACACTATACAATTCAAAAGCTTGAAGTCAGTAGAATTTTTTTTTCTTGTTGTTGTTTTTTGGGGAAGAAATTATAGAAATTAATACTTTTATTTAGCAAGGATGCTTAAAATTGATCAAAAGTGAGGATAAAGGCATTTATAATGTTACAAAAGATTGCTATTTCAGATAAATAGTGTTCATATCGATATCGGAATTATATCGTATCGACCGAAATTAAGAAATATATCGTGATATCAATTTTGGCCATATCGTCCAGCCCTACCTTGATGTAGAATAAATGTTTATGTCCTCAGTGCATTAGTTTGGTCTTGATCTAGTTATGAACTGCAAGTGATAATGACTCGGATCGATTTATGGTGTGCATTAATCACTGTTTTTGTGTTCGTTAGATTTATATTTACATTCTGCCTCACTGTTTTGTGTCCCTGACCATAGAACTACAAAACCAACTCCTCACTTGGACGGGTAAGTGTGCAGCACAATGTAATGTACCAACTAGTAATTTTTGATAAACTCCTAGGTAACATAAATATCTTCTGCAGTGTTTAACAGGTTTTGTTGCTTTTTTCCCCAGAATTCATGTGGTGTTTGGTCAGGTGATCTCCGGCCAGGAGGTGATCCGGATGATCGAGAGTCAGAAGACAGATACCAACAGCCGACCCTACGCCGAGGTCAAAGTGCTCAACTGTGGGGAACTTGTTCCAAAATCTAAAGGTGATATTGCATATTTTCTTTTCTCATGTTTAAGGTTAGAAATGTTTAGATGTTTTACGTTATTAGTTTTAACTTATATTTTTATTGCGTACTTGTGTAGAAATATGCTTCCTTATGGCCCCATGAAATAAGTTGTATTTTTTTCCAAATTCAATTCAAAAAAAATTTTTTCAGTTTAAATAAATTTTCTGTTATAATTTTTCTGGATTTTGTTTTAATGGTTAAGTAAAATTTTAGTAATCAAAAAGCATTGTCTAATTAAATTAAATCATTAAGCTTAGACACTTTAACAACAAAAAATAGTAGTGTTATATGAATACTGACATCCATAACACTGGACAGTTTGATCACAATTGATGTGCCCTGATTGAACCCACTTATTAAATAAGTTCATTTGTTCATTCTTAATTAAGTGACAGTGGCTCTGAATGCTTTAGTTTTGAGTGTAGAAGTCACTACAAAATGAATAAGATGGAAAAAATCTAAAACTTTTGGATGGCCCAATGTTTTATTCCTTCATTTGAGTACCACTGTTTTTGATAATACATTTGCATGAATTATAATGATTGCACACATATACTGTATATATGATTGCACACATATACTGTATATATATATATATATATATACAGTATATGTGTGCAATCATATATACAGTATATGTGTGCAATCATTATAATTCATGCAAATGTATTATCAAAAACAGTGGTACTCAAATGAAGGAATAAAACATTGGGCCATCCAAAAGTTTTAGATTTTTTCCATCTTATTCATTTTGTAGTGACTTCTACACTCAAAACTAAAGCATTCAGAGCCACTGTCACTTAATTAAGAATGAACAAATGAACTTATTTAATAAGTGGGTTCAATCAGGGCACATCAATTGTGATCAAACTGTCCAGTGTTATGGATGTCAGTATTTAATGGTCACTATGGTTACTTGTGTTATTCACGACTATCCCTAGACTTGACGTTAATAATTCATTCATGCAGAATGTTCCTATAAACTTTTATTAATAAAAATTATGATTGGCAGTGCAAAAATAGCATCTCAAAAGAGATCACAGTTTAATTTAATCTTGGTTTAATCATACTGACACATTTTTTTCCAGTCAAATTATGAAAGCGTGTTTCAACTTTTGTCATCCAGCAAAAAAAGAAAAGAAGAAGCATCAGTCATCCATGTATTTATATATTCTGTGGAAGGCGTAGGACCAAGAAATGTTCATCCAATCAAAACGCTCTGTCCGAGCGTTTTAATTGGCTTTCCTACCTGCCTGTCAATGTATGTATCTGCATACCTCCGCGCACCCGGTTCGTGCAGACAGGATATGTCATCAGTTTAAGCGCGACTTGTGTAGATTAATTTAGTAAAAAAAGGCTTGCCTGCTTTCTTTGGCGTGTATTTGTATACTTTTACTATCTAATCAATCTCGGCATGCGTTAATTTTGTGTCGCTATATCTTTGCTTCACTAAGGTTAAATTATGCCTACGTCTTTCTTTGGCCTGCGCTCTGGAAGTGATCTGTTAATTCTGCTGAACTTTAAAACTGAAACTAAAACAAACTAAACTATATAAAAACTAAATAAAAATGCGTTCACAAAATAAAAACGAAACTAAAACTAACAAAAATATGAATGAAACTAATAAAAACTAAACTGAGTTTTATGGCAAATTTGAAAACTATATTAAAATAAAACGAATTTAAAAATTCAAAACTATAATAACCTTGGTGCGGCGCAAATCGATCAGAGTTTGACATCCGCGAGAGCGATTCGAAAGCGCACTGAGCAGTCTGCTCTCTTTAGCTCTCGTGGTACTGCAATACACTGATCGGTCTGCACAGTCGGTCCGCGTCAAGTCAAACACCTACTAGTTTACACCGGTTACACTCAGAGATGTGGCGCACACGTGAGGCTGTAGTGTGAATGCGTCCCAGCCCCCTTAGATGTAAGGCTACATTTACACTGGTGCGTTTGTTTTAAATAAAACCAAAGTTTTTTTTTTTTAGATAATGTAATCTTGTTCAAATTGATTTCATAAAATTGGTATCGAAAAAAGTATCGTTCAGGAACCGGTATCGAAGTCAAGTATCGGTATCGATATCGAACATTTTTGAACGATACCCAGCCCTACAGATAACCAACTCATTAGAAGTGAGCTACGTGTAACGTGCATGAACTGTGTTCCGATCGATATGATCCCTACACCGTGTTCATTGCTCCCTACTCCCTGAGCAGGGGTTTACTTCACCTTGGAACATGGGCTGGAATTGAGAACGGCTGATGTAGCCTCTTGTAGTAATGTTGTCTCTGGTATTCTGGTCTGTGAGCGTCTATGCGTTCAGGGGGCGTGGCTTTGGACGGCGATTGCAGGGAGGGTGGGACGTTCGCTTTCAGTGCTATCAGGCTAAAGTTAGCATTTTCCAAGATCTCCTACTGCACCTTTAAATCATAAATAAATAAATCTCCTGTTCGTAACTTGTAAATTCAATTCCAGACCCATGGCGAACTCCCGGCCAAACCGCACGAGACTGGTGATGACCAGGTCAGGGCGCAGAATTAAAGGAAGAGGACCGAGGGTGAGAGAATAATTATGATTTGCTTTGAAAGGCAGATCATGGCCAGTTTTCACAGACGGGGCTTAGCGTAAGCCAGGACTAGGCCATAGTTCAATTAGGATTTTAAAGTAATTTTTATAAACATGCCTTAGAAAAAACATTACTGGTGTGCATCTTGAGACAAAACAAGGGCACTTGACATATTTCAAGCTCAATCAGTGCAAGTTTCTTTCAGTTGAAACAGCTCAGACTTGCATTTTAGTCTGGGACTAGGCTTAAGCCTTGTCTGTGAAACCGGGGGCATGAGTTTTAAATGTTAATACACTCAGTAAGTTTGGGGTCGGTGAGATTTCTGAAAGACATTTCTTCTGCTTAGCAAGGCTGCATTTATTTGATCAAAAAATCCAGGTAAAACGGTAATATTTTGAAATTTTAACCGTTAAAAAAAAAAATGTCTATTTTAATGCATATTAAAATTTCATTTATTCCTGTGATGCAGCGCTGAATTTTCAGCATCATTACTCCAGTCTTCAGTGTCACATGATCCTTCAGAAATCATAATAATATGCTGATTTGCTGCTCAAGAAACATTTCTGATTATTATCCATGTTGAAAACCGTTATGAATTTTTTTTTTTTTTTTTCAGAATTAATTGATGAATATAATGTTCAAAAGAATAACATTAGTTTAAAATAGCATTTAAAAAAAATATATATTATAAATGTCTTTACTGTTACTTTTGGTCAATTTCACGCATCCTTGCTGAATATAAAAAAAACATTAACTGATCCCAAACTGTTGAACGATGCATGTTTTGTTTTACATGTTTTCTTTCTGATTTTTATTGAAAGAAATTGAAACTCATTTTTATTATTTATTTTTTACTTTCTGTAGCGCTACCGGACACCATCTAGATCTCGCTCGCGGTCATGGGATCGGTTTCGCCGCAGTGAGACGCCTCCACACTGGAGGCAGGAAATGCAAAGGACACAGAAAGCTAAAGCCAACACAGCTGCCACTCAGGACCGATGGATCAAAGGGGACAAGTATGTGCAGTTTGACACTGCATGCAAAATATTGCATCCAGGATTCATGAAATGAGAATTTAATAAACTTGATTTGTTCACTCAAAAGTGAAATTTTGTTTACTTGCCCTTGTGCTGTTCCAAAACATTACTTGCACTCAAGTGTTATCTATATTATGTAATTTAGTAAATAAATATATTATAATTTTTATTCTTACTTGAAAATAAATCTTTCATGTATTTATTTTTTCAGAGGAGATATGTCGGAGGTAAAGACAGAAGCCACTGAACCAGCCAGTGAGAACAAAGCTTCAGGACAAGAAGAAGCAAAAAAGAACTCTGAACGAGAAAAGAGAGATGCAAAGCGGGAAAAATCTCACAGTCCCTCCAGAGGAAGAGATAGGAAGAGGGACAAACATCGCTCCAAAAGCAGAGATAGGGATGCACGGAAAAAGACAGATGCTGATGCGGAAAAGAAGAAAGCTCGCAGCCGGAGCAAGAGCAAAGACAAGAAGAGAGAGAAGGAAAAGCACAGCAAAGCAGATGACAAACGGGGACGCTCAAGCAGCAAGGACAGGAAAGAGAAAGATGCCAAAGAGCGAGAGAAGGAGGGCGAACAAAAAGACAAAAGCAAAGAAAGGACCAAACAACATCCGGAAGGGAATGATAAGGAAAAGTTGAAGGAGGTGGAAAAGAAGAAGAATGGAGAGCAGCGTCGTGACCGATCTAGAAGCAGAGAAAAGGGTCGCGATGCATCACGGAGGTCCAAGTCCAGGTCCAGAGGCCGTGACAAGCGTGGCCAATCACGTGACAGAGGCCGTGACAGACGCCACAGCAGCAGCCGGGACAGAAGATCATCTCGTCGGTCGAGAAGCAGAGAGCGAGACAGACGGGACCACGGGAGAGACGCAGAAGACCGAAACAAGAGGAAGAGTGCAGAGGAGTCAAAGAGCAAAGAGAGCAGAGGACGAGACAGGAGCTCCAAAGAACGATCCTCCCAGAGACAGAGAAGCAGAGAGCGAGATGATCGACAGAGCGGCAGGAAGAGGAAAGAAAAGAGTGACAGTGAAAGCAGTGATTCTGAGAGCGATGCTGATAAACAGAAGAAGAGAAACAGGAGCGAGAGTCCGAAATCTAAAGAGAGAGCGAAGGACAAATCTAAAAGTCCAAGCAAAGATGCGAAGAAAAAGGGTTCCTCTTCCAGTGACAGCGACTGAGAGACTGCATGTACCACTCCATTTCTTTGTTTTCTTTTTCCCCATCAATGACTTGCTGTACATTGATGGATACAAAGAGATATTTTAGTCATCGTGTGAACCAGACATGCCCTTCTCCTGAACGCCTGGAATATTTTTTTAATGGCTGATACCAATTGCATCCTAATTTGTTTCAGTTGAATCGGTTATATTTGTCCAGCTTTTATCAGACATTTGTTTTCATTTTCTTGCCCATATCCCGACATAAACGTTTAGTGAAAATGGTTGCTTAATTGCTTTTCTGTTCGATCTGAGCTGTGTTTTTTAAAAGGGGTTTGTTGGGGACATGTTTGAGTACCTTGGAGTTTTGTAAGGGCTTTATGTTTGTAAAGAGATGACAATGTTAGGTTCTGTTTAATTTGACAAATAAAAATTGATACTGAACCTGTGAACTTCAATTTCAGTGGTCCTGTTGATTGAAACCTCTTCCTAATTTCTTCAAGTGCAATTAGGAATTAAGGATGCAGCATATATTGGTAAGAGATTTTTTTTATTATTTATCTGTTTTGGCTGATATTAGTTATTTTACACATTTCACCTATTTTTAGATTTAGGTATTTTAGGTACATTCCAGCAAACCTTTAAAAGCATGAATAATTTAATAACATGTTAAATGTAATATTTAGTGAATATAAAGTCTGAAATTGATTTTAGTGTTTTATATCTAGAAAGTTCTACCATTGTGCGTTAATATTAGCACTTCTATATTTTTCATGCATCTCACAATTGACCTATTTTGCTTCCATAACTTTTCTTTCAGAATTTTGGAAAGAAAACATCCAAAATACACATTTAATGATGAGAATAGTTTGCATCTGTAGATTTCAATTACAAACAATATCTTTAAAAGATCTCAAAAGTTTTTTTTCCAAGTTCTCGTCCTCAGCAGCACTTGCATACAACAACTTCAGTTTTATTTCTATCTATACTCTGAAGGTTATTACGGAGAGGTTTGTTCATATATCATTTGCCTAATTTATATAACATTTGTATACCTAAAAATATCTATTTTTCTTGCTGTTGACAGTATGGAGTGACAGAAAGGGATCTCCAAAATCCTCTCTGTAAAAACCTTTAATATGTCAACAAAATGAAACGGGACATTGGAACCTGGCTTTATCCAATCTTCAGATTCTCTGTTCTCTTCTGGAAAAGTGCGAAAATTTGCACAAATTTAATTAGATAACACCTCATTTCCATATTTAAATATATTTCAGAAAACACATAATTAGCACTGCAACAAACGATTATTTTGATAATCGATTTTTTTTTAAAAACGATCATTACAACAGTTAATTGACTAATCGTCAATAACTTCACTAATTAATCCGTAGGCTTTCTTCTATTATTCTGCTTTTACAATTAGTTCTAGGTAATACTGAGTTACACATATTGTAACTAATTAATAAAACAAGGTGATCACGTCCGCTTTGAAGTGAATGTCAAATAATTATATTACTATTGTACAATTACAATTATTATTTTTTACAATACAAATAAATATATTTGGCACACAAAATGAGATGACAGAGAGATTCTGCCTAACATCTTTTGTAAGCCGTATATGGAACAAAATAAAGTGCAAAGACATTTTTTCGATACATTATTTTATTCACAACATTAGCTCTCTTAAAACACCTTATAGTGTCATAGTAATCAAAACAGTCCTGAGTTAGATCAAGCTTTAATCTATGCAAAAACCAAACTATCACTTGAATATAATGATTTTTATTTATTTGCATTTATTTATTTATGCATTCACTAATAAAAAGATTCTATCATTAGCTAGCTCCACACTGGACAGCTGATTTATGGCAGAAAATCAAGTTGTAATTCTAACTGAAAGCCAGACTGACACTGTGAGACTTTTTTTGTTGTTGTTTAATACTGTAAAGCTGCATGCTTTAAAACAATCTATTGTATAAAGCGTTATTTAAATAAACGTGATGTGACTGGAGTGCCGATTGCAGAGCTGGTGCAAACTTATCCACATCGCTATGATAAGATGCTTTCTTAATTGCTGTTTTCTCAACGCTGTCATTTTTGATGTGTGTTTATTTTGTTATTGAGAGGAAAGCGTGCAGCACATTTTTACACATTTGTTGAGTCTGTCTGTCTTTTCTTGAATTGCATCGGGGAGAGCTGAATTACAGTCTTGCGCTACAGCGCCACACTGGTCAAACCGCGTTATTGCAGGCTCTTCCATTAAAGGGGTCATATGATGCTGCTAAAAAGAACATTATTTGGTGTATTTGGTGTAATGAAATGTTTATGCG